AACACACCATGAGGCTGCTCCAGCCAGCATGGGTGGCACCAGGGCTGGCAGAGTGATGCCGTTGGTGGTGCCCCAAACCTGTGTGCCATCAGTGACTCCTCCGTCCCTTTCCAAAGCTCTGAGCAGGACAGACCAGGGTCATTCTATGACAACCCCGTGCCAGAGGGGCTGTGCTGGCTCAGCACCCACCTGCTTTGTCCCCACCTGTGGCCATGACACATCTCCTGGGCTGGAGAGCGAGCAGGATGGCAGCTGCAGCTCCTGTGGAACACGAGGTCTGGCACCCACCATGCACCAGCACCATGCACCCCACCTGCTCTGGGATGATGCCAAACAGATGCCCAGGGTGTGCAAACACCCAGCCACATGTGTGATGCAGCTTTGTGACAAGGAGGGACATCAGCACAACTCCCTCCTTCCCGAGTGACCCAGGGAGAAGACAAGGTGGTTTGTGCCCAGGACCTGGTGAGTTGTGGCACTGATCTTCACCCACAGCCCTCTGCGAGCCAGCTGCCATTGGCACCCAGGGGACATACAACCAGCTGTGCCCATGGCAGCTCTGCCAACACTAACACTCATCACAATCTCTCAAAGTTTGTTTTTTCTGCCACCTGGCCACTGGGCCCAGAAGCAACAGTGCCAGCTGCTCCATAATACCCTAAGGGTGCACAGCAAAGGCCAGCAAAAGGCTTTGGGCTTACATATCAGCAGAAGACCACAGGGAAGGTGTTTCTGGGAGGACAGGAATCAACTTTATTTAGCAAGAAGCAGTACTGACCATGCAGAAAAGGGATGGGTGGCTTGGCTCCCCTCCCTATTAACTGTATGAAGCCCTGTCCTGCTCCAAAGCTGAGGGGGGAAGATGCTGAAGCTGAGGTGAAGGCAGTGGGGTTGGGGTGGCTGTCCTTAGGGGCTGGGGAGAGCTTGATGTGTGGAGGAGACAAGGGTCCCAGTATGCCTGTGGGGCTAGGGGAGCAGGTTTGCCCCCGTAGCAGGGACTCAGCATCAGCCCCACTGCAGTACAGCATTGGGAGCTGGGCAGGGTCCAGGAGGGCAGCACCCCATGGCACAGTGATGCCAACAGCAGCACTGGAAAGCCCATCCCCATGGTGTCAGAGTGACTGGGGACAGGGAAGCACAGCCTGGAGTCCTACCTGGTCCGACAGCAGCAGGGAGGGGGTGGGTGGGTTGAGCTGGCCGAGATACCTGTGGTGGCTCCATCCCAGCACTGCAAAATAAAAAATGTACGTGAGGGAACCCCCAGTCACACTGAGGGGTGGCTGCAGGGACCATGGGGTGCCATGGGGGGCCATCAAGCACACTGAGAGACCCCTGTAGTCACAGCCCTGCTGAGCCAAACCAAGCTGTGGCTCAGCAAGGCTACAGTACCCTAGAGATGTGGCTACAGCATCCCCTGGGCACTGTCAGCCCCCCGTGGCTGTGGGGGATGCAGGGACAGTGTGGTGCTGGCATCCCCAGCGCTGCCTGGGGTTGCCATGGTTTCTCCAAATTATTCCTCCTCTGCGAGCCCAGTGTGGGTGTGTGGGGAGGCTGCTGGGCTGGTGGTGCTGGGGGAGCTGGGGCTTTGCAGCACCACAGGCAGAGCAGAGCACCCACAAAGCCACAGGCACCCTCTGCCCATCAGGGGGGCTGAGCCGAGATGGCCCCACCAATGTCACCAGTGCTACCATGGTCCCACACCCCACCTGTCCCTCACACTGAGTCCTCTTCGCTTGCCCACCCCCCAGCTGGTGGGTGCTGGGTGTCCCCGTCTTCAGCCCCAGCCCTGCCTGGCATCTCCAGGCTGGGTCATACCAGGGATGCCAGTACCAGCTGGCAGTGCTTTCAGGGCTCATTGACCTCCCTGCGTAGGGGCACATGGCCCTGGGTGACACAGCCAGCCCTATGCCCACATCCCCACCCCAGATGGTTTGTCACACAGCCCCCTGTGTCCCCACTGCTGAGCAGGAGAAGGACACCTCTGCCCAGCCTGTACCCAACATAGTAGCGCCCTCCGACACCCCAGCCATGTTGTCAAGGGGCACCCAGTGGGACCTCCCCCATGCCAGTCCACGAGGACCACACCACGACTCAACTTGGCACTGTTGTGGGGCCCAGTGACACCCACACACCTGCAAGACCACCAGTCCCCAGCCCTGCACCCACCTCTGCCTGCACCCCACACCTGGCTCCCTGCTCCCACTGTGATGCTCTGGAGCACCCAGCTCCAGTTCTGGCAGCTCTGGCAGCTCCAGCCCACGGGAGCAGCATGAGAGCGTGGGGGTGCCAGGAGCCATCAAGGATGCCAGAGGGGCCTGGGGTGGCTGCCCTGAACTGGGTCACTGCCAGCACATGCAGCCAGTGCAGTGGGGCTCTGCAGTGCCCTGCCAGCCCACACCTCACTGCCTGGGCACTGCAGTGCCCTGCCTGCCCCATACCCGTGGTGAGGGTGTTGCCTGCCTGCTCTGCACCGAGTGCTCTGCCAGGATGGTACCTAGGAACTGCACACACTGCACTGACCACTACCAAGGTACTGCCCCTCAGCCTGCTCACATTGCCTGCACACTGCCCTCATGCTGCCTGTACACTGCACAGAGCACATTGCCAGGGCACAGCCCCCTGCACTGCTTCTTCATTGCCCCAGGCTGCCTGCACACACTGCCCTGCCAGTGTGCTGCCCTATGGCCTGCCCCCCCCCAGCACACTGTAGTGAACACTGCCAGTGCACTGTCCTGTGCACTCTGCCTGGGCAGTGCTGTACACACTGTCCAAAGACAGTGTTCTCCTGAGGTGCTGCCTGGGCCCACTGTGCTGGGGGCGCTGCCAGCGCGCTGCCTACACATGCAGTGCCCTGGGCACGCTGCTGCTGCAGCGCCCTGCAGGCAGCCCAAGCACACTGCCAACACATGCTGCACTGCACCCAGCTCACTGCCTGCACCGTCCCACAGGCACTGCCAGCACTCGCACTGCACCAAGCACGCTGGAGGTGCCTGCAGCTGGAATCATGGCCAGGGCAGCACTGCTCATGCCCTGCCACCACCATGCTGATGACACCAAGGCACCACAGTGGGTGCAGTGGGCACTGCCAGCCCACCTGCCTGTGCACCCTGCAAATGCACTGGGAGGGCACTGACAGCTGCCTGCACTGCCTGGCACTGCAGCTGGGGAGCCCACTGACCCCGGCCCCTGCCCTGTGCAGGAGGGAAATAGACACCATGCACATCGCACTGCCCCTCCACATACCCCCGTGCCCCCACATTCCTGTGCCCCTGGCAACCTCACATCCCCCCCAGCTCCACTTGAGCCCCCTCAGGTTTCCTGCACACATGGCTTCAAGGCCACAGACCCCACTGGGTGTCCTCACACACCTGCACCCCTGGAGGACTCATTCTGTTGGAGGGAATGGCACCCCCAGCCCTCACCCAGGAGGGCACCAGCAGTGCTGGTATCTGTGTGAGAGGTAAGCAGCACCCCTAGGGGCAGCAAGGGACAGACACCCTGACTCCAGCCCCTGGTGCTCCCCAGTCCCCCTCTCTGCCAGCCAGGCCCTGGCACCCCACCTGGGAGGGGCACCTCCTAACAGGCAAGGCCGGGGGGCTGCGGGGGTGGTTGGAGGGGAGCAGTGCTGTCCCAGCCACTGTTGCCTGTGAGCCCCGCAGCCCGCAGAGCAGTGGCCCCGTGCTGTACACAGGCACTGGGAGAACCGGGAGGCACTGGGAGAACCGGGGGGCAGTGGGAGAACC